GCATGTTATCCTCACCTGTCTCATGCTACACATGGAAACGCATGGACTGTATCTTCATAACATGGTGGGATTTAGATCGCACCTCTCTGCCCAAGACGCCCTGTTGCAGATTTCGCACACAATCCTCGATAAAATCATACATCATACAAGAGCAGTTATGGTGATAGACCTCACCAAAGCATTTGACGGGGTTACACATCGTGCGATCCTACAGGAAAAATAAGAGCTGCGCTTAGACTCTTGAACCTATAACTACATCTGGGCCTTTCTAAATGGGCGCACCGCCTCCCTGCATATCGATGATGCACAAACGCCGCCCTTCTCCCTTAGTAACATCGGCACCCCACAAGGGTCGGTTTTATGCCCCGCTCCTTTTTAATATCTCCCTGATTCTCTTGGTGAAAGTGCTCAGCCACATTCCACACTTAGTACATATGCTGTACGCTGACAATATAATGGTCTGGACGACGTATGGCTCGGATGGTGATATTAAATCGACCCTTCAGGAAGCAGCCACAACTATAGCTTCACACGCGGCAAGCATCGACCTTGAATGCTCCCACACAAAGTCGGCCCTCCTCATACTCCGACCACGGCGTGTCCCTATTGCCCCCATCAAAATTTATTTTCAAAACACTCCCATTCCGCAAACATCTACCCTCCGAATTCGCTGCCTGTACTTGCAGGATACGGAAAAAAACAACGTCACATTAAATGCACTAAGGCAGTCCACTTACTCGGTCATCCAGCTTCTAAGAAGGGTCTCTCATTCACGAGCAGGCTTGGACAAAGCCGATCACCTCAAAGTGCTACATGCCTTTGTGCTTAGTCGCATTCGCCATGCCTCACCTTACTTGACCCTATCCTGCACAGACAAATATAAACTAAATGCTCTAATCCACATGACACCCAAAGCAGCGCTTAATCTCCCAAAAAACACCACCATGGATAGGCTGCTAAAACTCGGAATGCACAACACAGTGCAGGAACCACAGACAATCTCAGTACCTTCGTCTGGCTGGGTCAGAAACAGTGCGGCATATACTCTATTCACTTGGAATCCGTATACCCGCACATACTACAGAATTGGTCTTGCTCCTTCGCGACATACGCGCCGCACTTGTTGCCAAACCTCTCCCCAGGAACGTCCACCCAGGATACCACCTATCCCACCACGTAGCGCGCGCAGCAACTCTCCATAAGCCATACGGCACTTTAGAAGATGTGCGCTGTGTAGATGCAGCATGTGGTCCAAACCATTCCATAGCTGTAGCTTATTGTCCTGCATCCCCCCCCCCCCTCATTCAATTCTTCGACCCGCCCTGTACCTCATAGGAAGCAGAGGAGGCTGCTGTTGTGCTAGCGATAGCCAAAACCAATGCCACTTACATACTTCGCGATGCCCAAACAGCAATTCTTAACTTTGCCCGTGACCGCGCCCATCCTCCCGCGTGGCAAACATTCAGGGTGTGTACCGATAAGTCCGACATACTTATAAAACTCGCGTGGGTGCCGGCACACTCTGGCGATTCCAGAAATGAGGCTGCCGATAACATAGCCTGAGGACTTAATTCCCGGGCAAACGGCGACCCCAGCTAGGATTCCTCGAGAGAGCGGGCACACACGTTCTCTGAACACATCCAACAAGTACGCCTTGCCCGTCGTCTCTACCCCCTCCCAACCCTCGTCTTTCTCACTCGCAACAAATCGTCTGGAAGTGACTTCAGACGAGAAGTCTTCCCCCTCCTCGCGTCCTATCCCACTTCCGCCCCATTTCTCCGGAGTGCACTCTCAGTGAAGAGTCGCCTACCACCCTAGACCACATTTTCGCTGGCTGCCCTGCCAATTCTCCCCCGCAAGCACAGCCAGCCATCAGCACATGGGAGAAATCGGAGGCCCTCCTTGCGTCGCAGGACCTGGACGCACAGCTTCGCTGTGTGAACCGGGGTGCCAGTGCCCTAGCCCTGCGTGGTCTGGACACATACGCGCAATGTGATGGCCGTGCGGTGGCCCAGGGTCCGTAAAAGACACAAACTCAGTTGCCCAATAAAGTTTTTTTCCTTCTCCTCCTCCTTGGAGAACCCTACGAGTGCCAGCTGGTTTCAATCACAAGAGCTTCGGGGAGTGGTACAAAAGGGCTGGATACATTCACGCCGCCCTCATATTGACAAATATGCCTTCTGGCCCAAAGTTTAGCCTGTACTTTTCAAATGGTCTTGTGTGTTATCACCATTTTTGCCCCAAAATCTACCTCCCCCCCCCCACACACACACATATGGAACGTGTCCATGTGGTCTCCGCAAAAACGAAACACCTGTTTCCTTTTTTTCTAAGTGACCACACAAGGGGCCGCTTCGGGGGCTCTCTCTGCCGGAGTCGCCCCTTTCTATACAAGTAATTGCCTGCCACCCATGCTCACCAACAATGTCCCTCCATCACCTTCAATGGTGCGTCGCGTAAGCCGCACTACCCCCTCTTCTTTTTCTTTCTCCTTCCTTCCTTCTTTTCTTTCTCGTTTTTGTGCTCCTTTTAACCTTTAGTTGGTTTATTTGGCTTCTGCTGTGTCTACTATTTATGTTTTGTCTAAGCGTACGACACGTGCCCCACACTAAACGGGACCTCTCTCACCCTTCTCCCTTTTGCTAGCTCCAGCCAGTGGACCAGAACTGTTTGACACAGCATATGTCAACTCTGTAAAGCATTACTAATTTCTCACTCCCTCTTGTTTCTTTTTTGCACCACCATGTCGATGCTGCATGTTCGCATAACGTCGCACTTATTCACACACCCTGACAAAGACCGGTACATTGGTCAAAACCGTTGAAAATAATATTAAGACAACTGTTCAGTTTTGTCTCTTCTCTTCAAAAGTACGTTTGTCACATCGAAAAACTTGGTCAGTGTATATAAATATATATATATATATATATATATATATATATATATATATATATATATATATATATATATATATATATATATATTATATATATATATATATACATATATATATATATATATATATATATATATATATATATATATACATATATATATATATATATATATATATATATATATATATATATATATATATATATATATATATATATATATATATATATAGGACATGACGGTGACGGCGAAAGTCAGCCGAGAGTGTCTATATAATAGCTATCACAACAAAAAAGCGTAGTTTGCTACACGTAATGGCCAAGCCATTCAGAGCTATGATGCTTGAATGACAAAATTCAGGGGTTTACACTTGCAAAGGATTCCCCCCCCCCCTAGCCTGAGTACAAATGAGATAAAAAATTTTTGATTCCCCCCCCCTGATTTACGCCAATGCAGAGCCCACACAGACAAGGTAAGATTCTAAATACTTCGCGACGAAATTGATTTAAATTTAAATGCATTGATTGTTTTGTAAGAGCATCCGATTATTTCCGCTTCTAAAGTAGCATTGTTTCAGAATTTAGTTCTTATTTTCGAAAACAGTCAGCACAGCGCAAGAACCCACTGTAATATTTATTGCGCGACAATCGTGCAAATCCTGTTCAGGTGTAAATCTGTTTCAGTGGCTTCCAAGTCACTGCGGCTTATTGGCCAACAAACATGCCAATGCAGCTGCTCAATCAGCGCACAAAGACGCTGTAAAAAAATTCTATTCGATTCTCAAGGACTGACGCTGCCATGAAACTGCGAGAGATTGCTAATCCAGATGTAAAATCTTTGTGAAACGCGTTGTGTTTACGCCACACGCTACTGCATAATCTGGACCCGTCTCGTCGACTTCGGCCTCCGTCCGGACTCTCTCGACTTGAGACAACGGTGCTTTGCCGACTGTAGCTTGGTGTTGCTTTCGCCAAAGTTTTCCCCTTCCGAATCATCATGGAAAACAGTGCTGCTCGCAATCATTGCGGCAGCGATGAAACGATAAAGTGCGTTCTCTGTCACTGACCTCGCTACAGCGTGCATAGACAGACGCTACCTGCTGCGTTAGCCCGGCTTGACGACAGACCCTAGTCAGAACAGTCAGTGCTCGAAAGCCGACACGATCTGTCTTCACACAGAAAACGTCAAGGCCTTATTGAACGTTTTGCGTGGTAATGGCTTATTGAATAGGCTACAGCATCCCCACTCTTTCTTTTTTCTTTCGCGCGTCCACTTTCATCCTCACTTTCTCATCTTCCTTCCCCATTCTCACTTCTCTTAACGCAGGGTAGCAAACCGCATGCTACAGTATTTTGTCTACTTCCCAGCCTTCCTCTCCCGTATGTCTTTATCTCTCGTGCGTGCTGATCAGGTAAGCTTTAACAGATTAAGACCACAAAGCAACAAGTGCCACTCTTTTCCCTATCTTTAAAGATAATCATTCCGCAGAGTACGCAGACAGCGCAGGATGAATCCGTGCCGGAAAACCCAAATAGCGTTTGCCACATATGCCACATAATGCACGTGTGCACTCCAATACCTTCCCCATTTTCAACACACGCAGATGTTCGGAGAAGATAGACTCTTTCAAACAAATATTTTCACAAGCTGCCAGCCATGACCCCTTCCAAGGTCCGGAAGTTTACGCAACCCTTAGTTTGCATTTGTTGCATAACTTGTCTATGTCAACTCCTAAAGTGGAGGTGTTTTATGTCGATACGTGGCTTCGGAGAAGGGGGGGGGGGTTACTTATTACATCACTAGGCATTGTTACGCATATGTTCTATGCAATATATTTATAGAACAATTAGAAGCAAACGTGGTACTGATCTAGTTAAAAAGGTGCGCCTTACATAGTTTTGCTGAACGCCTACAACGAAAAAAATTTACCCTTCTGACAAGGCAGTGGTAAGCAAGTCCTGTAGCCTTTTCAATCGACATGACAAAATAGGACAACATTGTGTATGAATAAAACCATATTTTTCATTCGTCATGCCTCTGCTTAAAACAATAGCTCGTCAATCAAGAAAAAGACGCAGTCCATTTTGCTCTCCATGCGCCGAAAGCTATCTATATGCTCTCTGCAGGCCGCCGTCATCATGGCTGACTGTTTAGACGCAAACAGCTGCGATGACCTCGGAGCGTAGCCTTGTTGGCCTCAGCAAAGCGGACAAAAACTGAGACATCATGGATTCTACAATAAGAAATGTTCTGGCATTATCAGGTAACGCAGGGCACCACCTCTCATGAACTGCGTGTGGCACAATGTCTTTTTTAAGTAATTGTCTCACGTTTTACTGATGCGATCATCTCTACTCAAACTTTAAGGGTTTATTGTTTCTCTCAGACGTTGTACATTCAGAGTCTGTATTGCTCTTATTTTTTGGCATTGCCTAGTTTGGTATTGTTCATTTGACTACGAAAACTAAATCGTGAAAACATTTGCTATCCAAACACACTTCAAAGCCCAATCAATATCTCCCATAGAGTTAACCACTTCGAAAGGTTCCAAGTTGTATTCAGTGAAATTCATCAATTCACGTTATTAATTAGAGAACACTTTCGAAAGTGTGAAAGACCAAGCCATTTTGTTACTTCTGCTTGTTGCTTCATTGCCTGCTAGTTTGATGTGCGCAACAATTCAGTCATTCTGCATTTTAAACTGCTTACGCTTTAGCTGATTTGTGGCTCACTATGAATGTAGTGATGGTTGAATACATGGATTATATTATAGTTCCGGGCGAAACTTTTTGCACAAGTCAAACGTGTTTGTGTATCTTTGACACTATCCTTATAGACAAGCTATCTTCATCAAAAATCCATATGCTCTTGGCAGAAACTGCATGAAAAGGACACAAACGGGGTCCTGAACACTTTGCCTCGACATTTTTTTTTATCAGTCAGATTGAAACATTCAATTTCGCGTATCTGTTCGTATTCACGACTTCTCAGCTCTAGCTTTTATATTGGATTCAAAAATTTTACGAGCTTACGCTTCATGTCTGATCCCATTATTGTATGCTAGATTACTGTCCTTTCAGCCAAACTATCATCCGCGCTCGCATTTTGTAGCTCATGTTATCCAACCGTGCAAGCTGTACACATCAGTTCTTTTAAATGCGAAGCATTTCTTAGTCAACTTCGGCGACTTTGAGCGTATCTATCTATCTATCTATCTATCTATCTATCTATCTATCTATCTATCTATCTATCTATCTATCTATCTATCTATCTATCTATCTATCTATCTAGCCACCTACGACTTTTAGCTCTCCAGGCCGTTTTGATAATGGTATCAATACCAAACTTGGTATGCCATAACAAGACTATGAAAAATATATTTGACAAGTCATAACATGAAATCATGACATGTATGTGAAGAATGTCATGATTTACATTTCATGGTTCGGCAGCTTTTTTACGGTGGTTTTTTCACATGGCATGTTGCAAAACTGGTATGGTATTGCATGATTGCATGGTGAACACAAGTGACAGACCGTTACAAGAAAATCATTACAAGCGTGTCATGTAAGAACATGACTACATGCCACGCTAATATTGCGCTCGATGCTATTTGGCTAGCGTCCCTTATACCAAATTTGGTGTTACAGTACGTGAATGAATGCCGAAGGTATGTGACTGGTCCAAACATGATAATTATGAGATGCGTGTCATGTAACAAAATTACTACATGACACACTCATGATTTGCTCGCGGCCGTTTTGCTAGCTTCCCATGTACCAAACTCGGTATTACGCGACGCGAACGGATGACATAGGTAAATGACACATCCAAACATGATATTCACGACATGCATGTCATGTAACAACATGAGTGCATGCCACACTGCTGATGCACTCGCGGCCGTTTCGCGAGCTTCACATGTGCCGAATTTGGTATTACGTGACGCCAATGGATGACGAAGGTATGTGACTGATGCAAACATGATAATCATGGGATGCGTGTCATAAGAGAACATGACTGCGTGCCACAGTCAAGGCGCCAATACACTTCGATGTGACGCGGTGCGCGTGCTTGCCGGCGTTCATTTCGTAGCGTCACGCCAGCGTTGCCACGCCAGGCGCCGGTTCTGCCATACACTCGCAGGCGCGCGCCCCGCTGCGTTGCTTTGACGCATGCTCGTTTGAGCGCGTCCAGCGTCCCTCTGTCACGAAAAGAGGGAGACGCAGTGTTGTCTGGGTAACGCATCGGCACGAAATACAGCATATCGAATTTCGCGCCGGATGCCGTCGGGCCGCACCGGCGGACGCTGGTCGCGCCTGGCGTCAGACTATATCGTTGAGTGCTCGCGTTTTGCTAACGTATAGCGTCGTTGTGCCCAGCATGCGCGCGCGTCAACGCTGAATTGGGGTATATTGGGCCCTTCATGATGCGCTCGTGGTCATTTCGCTAGCTCCACATATATCAAATTTGGTGTTACGTGGCATCAGTGGATGACAAAATATATGACTGATGCAAACTTGATAATACTGAAACCCGCGTTATGTAAGAACATCAAAACATACCACACTCATAGCATGCTCACGGCAGTTTCGCTAGCTCCACATATACTAAATTTAGTATCACGTGGCGTGAATAGATGATGAACGTAAATGACACATCCAAACATGATAATCATGACAGGGAAGTCATGTGCGGCATTATTTACTTCCACCTCGTAACGTTGCGCTGATTTCAAAGTGACGTTTCAACATTTCTCATTCGTGCTTCGCATATCATTGATTCCCACTGTACGTGGGGTCCGCCAATTTTTTTCCTTTTCTTTTTGAGTTTCATTCACCAATAAAAATATTCATTTTAGCTACTGTTTATTTGATTACTGAAATTTTATTTAGTCGGAGCAACTCGTGGAGATTTCTTGTGCCATTTCATTTTCTTTCTCTTCGCATAAATAGCGAGGAGTCTGTGAAGTCGTTGTTGTGTTAGGCCACATTTCAATGACTTGCCATCGTAACCACACCCTTATGCACCTTATTGCAGCACTGATCTCCCTGCCTCTGCTCGAAGCCTACTGCCCACGTCTGGCCCCTGACGCCATAGTAAGTTTTTGCTTAACATCGTGTGTTGAAGCACTTTAACAGCTGACCTAGCAACGTAAGCTTGCGCACATAAAAGACCGACATAAAACAGGACGTGGAAATAAAAGCCACGCAGTACCATTCATGCCTTGCACTTTCCGCACCATCCTTGATATTAGGTTCACAAGAGTTTGCCGCAGGATGTAGTTTGCTTTTCAGCAGCACATCTCTTACCATCAGTAATCGAGTTTCATCCATATGCAATATTCACAAGTTCTGGCACAACAACACATTGATGTTTTCATTCATGTGGCTTTTTTTTCTCTGTATATTTTCTGTGCAAGTAGTCTTCATTGCGATATTTCATTTTTTAATGTGCATGGCCGACAGGGTCCTCACAGAAACTTCTTAACGATTCGTACTTAAATTAAGATCTCGTCATATCCAACCATTTTACAATATTATGAGTAGCCAAACTAGTTACATATAGCGGCTGTTACATTACAGCGTGCTCAGCTGCTCAGCGTAAAAAATTATAATCGTTCAGTCTATCTAATACTCAGGTACCTGGAAATGATATCAAAGGTAAAAAATAATTTTGGCGGCATTTCTTGTGCTAAGCTGCGTTGGAAATGCCCAGCTTCACTGAAGTACTCGCCCGCTAGCGTCGATATAGGTTTAGTGACGTCCTTATTATTGAATACTGCTTCAGCGATTATAAGGACACTGCAGGCGAATGTTTCGCACCATTGTGGCCGTCGCCCTCCCGGGAAATTATGTGAAACTCCAAAAACGTCCTGTTGCGCCCTGGGATCTGTTCGCTGTGGGCATAGAGTTTCTTAATATTAACTAGTGGAAACTGGCGCTGCAATCGTTAAGCCACCATGGGAATGAGTTGTAGTAGACAAATTTGCCTACAATTGTGGACAAATTTTATTGGCAATAAAGGGAAAGCTATGGGGGCGGAGCTACAGCACATGTGCTCTTCCTCGAAGTGCAGGGTCTGGTTTCGCTGACGCTTCGAATTTTTTATGGCCATATTCGAATAAAAACGCCGAATACTATATTCTACAACCATTAAACAGCCATTAGTAGGTGAAATTTGTCTCAAGCTTCTTCGGCGAGTCGTTTAAATAGCTTGAGGGTGACGAGCGCTCACTTAACCATGACGACGCCATTTTGACTGTGAGGTATACGTCAAACTTGCGACGTTTTGCATGTTCAAAAACGAAAAATTACACTGTATCACGTAAAACAAATAGTAATATATTTTAGTTAGTGCAACGTCTCTTTATAAACAGCATATAGATAATAAAGTATTATGTTGTTGTTTTTTCATGATGTTTTCGTAAAAAACACGGAAGCAACTCTGGGACTATAAGAGCGGTAACACACGCCAACTTTACGCGGTAGCCTTCCCTTCATTTACAAGAAACGTTGTCCGCGAGTATAGTCTTCGTGCTTGTGGCTTGGAACGCACTCTTGGCTTTGTTTATTGTTGTGTTTCGGTTCTGTTTCGGACTAAATAAAGGATCATTGTGAACTTTACGAGATGCGTTTAGAATTCATTAACCTTGAAGGGTCAAGGTGTTGAAGCGTAACTGCAAACCTTTGCTCAACTCCGTGTTGCGAAAAATGGATTCAGGCCACAGGGAGCTGAACAAAGCGAAAAGAACGAAAACTAGGCAAGATTAGGCAAATATCTGTACTATCCGTCATTCCCATGCTGGCTGAAGCGGCGTACGGGGCAGCTCCCATATATATAAACACGAGCGTCAGAGTTGCCTCCAGTGTATTTTTGGGAAACTCCACGGCTGCGGGTACTGGGGCAAGCCTGTCTATGCGGTTATCGCAACTGCTGCTGTGCTCGCGCCTCGATATGCAAAAACAATAAAGGTCCATTTGCATAAATACAAGAGTTCTGGTGGACATACGTACGTTCACAGAAGATACCATATTTAAGTGCCATTCCCACTGGCCTTTCCATATTTATTACAGAGCACCTGCGGCATTCGGTGCCGTTCAACCACCATAGACATAAGGGCCGTACACAATGTACAAATTTTCTCGCATCACCTATCTTTGATGTTAAGAAATGGAAAGTTTGGTGACTAGGACCGACCATGCCATAACTACAGCCACGAAATAACAGGCGTAACGACCGCATTCTTAACAGGTACATTAAAAGTGAGAGCGAAACTGTAAGCGTCAGTAGCAATATCTGTTTGCCTTTAAAACTGGCTATTTAAAAATTAAATATTACTTAAACTCTAGCTGGCTTAAATTTACCAAATACAACAAATTGCCTGATTGAACGAACAGCAACCTACGGGAATACTTTTAGGCAGCTTTAATAGACAGTGGGCTTTTTTGTGTGTGCCCATATCTTAAGGCGATCCAGCTGAAAATGATTAACTTTATTTACACGTTCACAGCCATCTATACGAGTACACAAACTCAAACAATTGCTTTAATAAATAAAGAAAAAGAACAAAAAATCGCAATGTTCACACTTGTCATTTCTTTACAGAGTGGGAAGGTTATTCCGTGCCGCTACCTATGCGTCAGGATCAGTTTCTTCGAGTTGCCCTCAATCATCTTATCAACAGAGCGGGATGGAGTCCTTTGTTCGGTAAGAAAATGAAAATGTTCATTTTCAACAAAATTAACGCTGGCCTGTCGTGTTTTATTTATACGTAATTCGCTCTTCCCTGTTGTCGTAGCGCAATAAAACGCATCATTCTTTCTTAGCAATGCTACATGGGCAGCCGTTAACCTGTATAAATGGTTAATGTACCGAGCTATTGCGATTGTTAATTAGTTGCTCTATCTGAGGAAGGGCACTCATTGTAGACATTCTTTCTGTACTAACTTCAAGTAATGAAGCCGTAAATTATCTGCCTTTTTGAAGTTTATAGTGTAAGTATTTCAGTGTTTTCAGTGCACTCCGACAGTCCTCCGCATAAAGCAAAAAACTCACATCAAAGTCAGTGAATCTAAATACATCCTAACAATCGTAGCAGTGATTGCGGTCACACTAAATTTATCCTAACACGAATTCGACGCACCTGTTTGACAGTGCAGGCACTACATGCTTGCTTGCGAGCACGCGTCACTTGAACGTGCGAAATCACTTACGCACTGCCTAAATCCACATGTGTAAGTTACGACGCTAATCTACGCAACGTTTATGAACAGAATGTGCGCAAATTTTTTTGGACTACGCAGAAGATCTTGCGCTTCGTTGAGATATGCATTCAGGTTTTAAAGTTTAATGTTTTGTTAGCAGAGTCCTTTCTCTATAAATTCGAAATATGACGGCAAACGTAAGTCTACTTTGTTACACGGTTATCAAAATATGTACCTAGCAAGGGCGTACAACTTAGTAACTGCTACTTTTCAAACTGGCAACACAGTCCAAGTATCACAATCAAAAGGCACAGCAGGCGACAAAAGTAAACCAGTGTAGGTGTACCATATGTTTTAACTTAATTATTTAGTGATTTGTACGAGCTGTTTTTCTTGAATTCAGGAAAGATATCCAACACAGGAAGTGAGAATAATTAGGTCACTAACTAAGATCTAGTGATTAAAATGTAAACTCAGGCATAAAAGTTACCTTTTGGTTACGTCCTACAGTTTCGCTGCTCCACTCTGGGCTGTGGTCTACTGTATACGTTCTCTTGTGGCCCTTACAATTACCTACCAATTATTTTACGCCATCGTTCAACGATTACTCTCGGCTTGGCATTATTTATATGCACATCTTAATATCGTAACCCCACACCTCTCAATAAACGACCTATATGTATACAGAAACGCTTTGCACCGCAAACCTTGATTGCATAAAGATAGCGGGACTTCTTGCTGAGTGAAAGTGTTCAGAAAACAGCGCATATACTTAGCTAATTATGACAGTCTACCGAATCGTGTGTTCCGGCCAATAAACTTCATGGCGACGCCATGGGAAATAAGAATGAAGATATCTTTACTCCTCGAAATTGAATCTTCACTAAGTGTCGCACGTGAAGCGTAATCTTGAACAGAAGTCGCACTTTATTTGAAATAAGCCAGCACACTGGACTACGCTGTTCCCTTTTGAAGTGATTTTGATCATAAGGGTAAAAGCTTCTGTTATGCTTACAGCACTTGCCCATCTTATCAGTCTTTTTTACCCTAAGGCTTTTCTGTGACATAAAACGTAAAACTGAAATAAAAAGATCACATGAGGAAAACGGATAAATACTTGGCCCATTTATGTAGGTTTTGTGCTTTTTGTTACCTGCACAACGGGTCTGCAAGCTTGCCGAGCTTCAAGCCTTTTCTAAACGTCTGTTTTAAATTCGTGGTCAAGAACTGTGAAAATATTTATGCTGTTTCTTTTTTGCTGCAAACAGTAGAATTCGAAGAACTAATTCTTTTGATAATTCGATGGTGGAAGGTATCTTGCCGCCAGTAAACGAACATAAGCTATCATGGGCCTTGACCAAACTGACCAACGCTAAAGCATCCCAGGTGTTCAGCTTGTTCATGCACTCATTTAACGCCACCGTTGAATCTAATGACGTCTTCAGCATGGGAAACATTTTAGCAGTAAATTAGTCGTATTGACAAACGTTTTGGCCTTACCGTTTTGGTCGTAGTTCAATTCCTGTTGCCCTACTCAAATTATCAACCGTGATCAATCGAGTACGCACAAGCTACAAGTGGTCTCGACCAAGTACTGAATATTACAGGTAACGCCAAAATAAATCGGTGATATGCAAAGCGACGACCATGGCATGTCACAGTTTGACACAGAGATCTAACGCCGTTGTTCCCCGATGGGCGGCCGCTGGGCATGTCGAAAACTAGCGAACCTGCTGTTCCCGCTTCCACATACCCACACAGAAGTAATTAAAGCAGCAAGTTGAACTTATCACTCACAATATGAATATTTGGAATTTCCAATGTTTGGAGCAGGCAAGCAACATGATTATCCTGCTCTTTCCAGACGCTCCTCCTACGCAGGCGCGGAGTCTGCAAAAACGGGGGCTGCATTCCTTTCGATGCCGACGAGTACAAGGGGGCTTTTGGCAAGGCATTTTCAGCCGTCGACAAGTTGGCCTCAGGAGTATTCAGGAAGATAGCCCCCACATCGGGTGAGCCTTCCGGACCGATTGTGGACACCCGTTTGTACACTGGAGCCTCGAACACCGTGGCTGCTCCGGCAGTTCCGGTTGGCAGCACCACGCCTAGTTCATCATCAGCAAGGCCCATGGTGGGTGTCCCGCCAACCAACACTGGTCTCCCGTTTCTGCCAACGACCAAGATCGTGCCCACGGTCAAATCCTCCGAGACCGGCAAGATTCCTTCGATCTATCCAAATCTGAGACCAAGTCCGAAAACGGCACGCATCGGTACCGTCTCTTTAAGTGGAGGTACACCAGTAGCCTCACCGTTTGCAGGACCAGAAGGCAAAGGTGCAAACCAGGCTTCGCCGACACCGACAGCACTAGGAGCCCCAGGGGCTTCACCAGGATTGGGGTCCAGCAGTAGTCTCCCATCCCCAAGTTTTCCTGTCAGTGCAATCCCATCAGTACCACCGAGTGTTGCATCAAGTCTGAGTTCACCCACAGGGAAAAGTGCGGATGGAAGCGTGAGAGAAGGGAGCGGAGGAGTGTCCAAAGTAGGAGGCGCAGCGTCGCGGGGCACGAACGCAGAGCCCACTTCGCTGGCCAGCATTTATGGTTTACCGTCTTAAGACAACGGAAGGAGTATCACCTTCTTGAAGTACACTACCAGGGCACGCAACTTCCTGGACAGATGAAATTTTCTCTACTACCAGTGGTACCAGAATCTGGGAACTCCGAATACGGCTGCCGATTTGTTTCGCTACGTCATCTCGATGCAGTTGTCACATTACGGCGTCATTGTCAAGTTCGAATATATACCGATGTTCCTCGAAATAAAAATCATAAAAGTGCGACAGCTCGTTCTGCTTGAAGTTACAAAACACACCTGTCTTCATTCCTAAGAATGCTTGCTACTTGTTTTTTAAGTAATTACAGCATGACATAATGGTCACCGCAATACTATTTAGACTTCGATGCATGGTGAAGACAAGTATGCAATATTAGTGCAAGAACGCGGACAACATGACGCCACTGCAATGACACACGAACTTTCTCCCAAGGTCACTTGTAGACTTGTCTAGAACAACATTGTTAGCTGGTTCCAGCAGTATTGAATCGGGCACACAAAAAAAAGATGCACGAGGATACAGCGGTCTCTTCTTCATGTGTCCTCTGCGCGACAATTTCAGGTTTACCTCAACCACTAAACAACATTTTAATTATACCACAAGTAATCCATTTTAATAGGCCATGTTGGCTTACTCAGTACAGCCATATTTCTTTCAGAGAGGGGACGCCCAATGCACATCCTCACTTGGCCGGATAGTTGGCATTACACACGCTCATCAATCTTAGGCGATTCCGGTATCATATCTTACCACGTGCGTTCTGGTCTTTTAGTGTCTTTTTCACATACTTTTGGACTATTTTGATCAAATTGCCAATAAATTTACCGATACATATGAGGCCTTCCAAGGTTTCTCGACTTCGTGTCTTTCAGTATGCAACTCATACATTTACTGCCCTGCAATTGATAGATCTTGCACAAAGAGCTTCTCCTGCCCGTTTTCTGAACAATCTTGAGCAGGTTGAGAAATTCGCAATTCGGGGCAAAATGATAATGCTAAGAAAGATAGGCACAATAACGTTGAGCGTAGAATTATATGTGGAGACATGCTTGTGGCCTTATGCACACAGCAATCAGTGCTCAAAAAGAATCATCTGACCATTGAATAGATTCTACTCAAAAGTTGTCATGCTCTTTGCCACTTCAGTCAGAAGCTTCTTCACTGCACTGAGACACTAAGTGAATCAATATTGTTTTTGAGGATTGCAAATAAGTTCATGAAAAGTAGTTTTAAATACTGAGTGATCTCTATTTTCCACCAAAACTTCGTTCTTAAAATAAATAATCGAAGACTATTTCACTGAGTAACTTCCAGCTGAAACTTCAGCACCTTGAAGTCAGTGTGACGTGACACATAGTGAAATTTCTCTCACACGTTCATGGAGCCTCCGACACAGTACACGCAGTTGGACACGCTGACACCTGGGAATATCCTAGAACTGTTTACCCAACAGCAAACCAGCCAGCGGAATCATTAAAATTTTACAGTGACACAAAAAATAGCACCATATCGAGCCAACATAGCACGCACGCATGCACACACACACACACACACACACACACACAAACACACACACACAAAACAACGCACACACCCTGACACTCCAATGTGGTGTTGTTCCCACTCGACTAACCATGGCAAGAAGTTCGTAAGGGCAAACCGCAGAGCCATTCCACGGACACGTCACCAAAGTCTACCGTCCCGGAGAAGTACCAGGTTTCTGAGAGAGCGCTTTTCACATGAGTCCGCAAGGCACATCCGCCAGGTGGCGTCACCACGGGAGTACAGTTTCTTCGCGAAACCCGTGAAGGCAAGCACAGAGTGCGGATGGGCCCGTGCCGTCCAAGAACAGGTACGGGAGGAAGAGAACGAGCAGTGGCCGAGGGCGA